GCAGGCTAGCATTAAACTTACTGCTAATCGCACGTAAGAGATGTTGTTTTTTTCCAAATGTATACCTTGTAATATACGAATAAATAAAGAAATAGTGTTTATTTACTCAAAAAAAAAATAAATAAATAAAATAAATAAAAAAGTCAATTATGTTATATATTTATTTAATATTAATTTTTTTAATATTTTTTTAATTAAATAATTAAGAAATTATTTTTATTTAAAGTTTTTTTTTAAAAATAAATTGGAAATAAAATAGAAAAAAAATTTTTATTTTTAATTAAAAAAGTTTATTTATATATATTAGTAAATAAATATTATTTTTTTATTTGATTTGTATATTAAAAGTATATATTATAGAAGAAACAATATTTTTCAAAAATAATTATATTAAGTTTAATTATAGTTTGCCTACGGAAATCAAATAACTAATATTGAAAATAAATTTTAAAACAATATATCTTGTCAAAAAATATTAAATAACTATAAATATCTATTTAATATTAAAGAAGAAGAAATTAATATAACTTTAAATTAATTTGATAATATATTTAGAAAAGTTGAAATTGTTTTAAATCTAGATTTTTGTGACTAATCCAATTGTTAAAATCTGATAAAAAAAAAATATTGTTGATAATATCACATATCAGTTTAATAATCTGCCATATATAAGTTATTGATTTTGAACTATTATTAAAATAAAAAATAAAATTATATAATCTGTTTTATTATTTGATTAATATCTTTTGATATTATTAAATATTTAAATATATGTTATATGTTTTCAATACAAAGTTTATATTTTGAACAATAGAAATCTGGATATTGATCTGAATATAGTTAATAGAAGTTTTTTTATATTGGAAGAGTTACTAATAGAAGTTTGATTTGAAAAACAATTAGATTATTATACTTGTTATTTTATATATTCTTTAGATCTTTATTAGATTTGTTAATAACTTTAATATTATAGAAATTATAAATCAAATCAAATGTTTTTAAAATTAATAAACTTTTAACTATTATATATGTTTTAGTAATTTTAAGAATTTTTTTATATTATTTGATATTACTTTCTAGTTGAAATTTGTTAATTAATAAGTTTTTCAAAAAATACAATAATGAATTGTTTTAATTTATAACATTGCTGGTCTTTGGATTTGATTTAGAGCTAAAGTAAATAAGAAGAATCAATTTTTTGTATAATATTTTGTTGATTTCTTAAGTAATTGAAAAGAAATTGATTTTTGATATTTTTCTAAAATAATATATATATTTATTTTATTTTAATTATTTTTGTTTCATGTCATATGTTGATTTATTAAAAAAAAATAAATAGAAAAAAATTATTAATATTTTTAATATAATTTTTATTTAAGTTATCTATTTTATATCTAATCAAAAGTTTATTTTTATACAATTTTTTTTTTTTAGCTGGAATTCTTGAACAATTATTTCAAGTTAATTAAAGTTTTGTTAAAAAACATTACTATACTTGATTTTATTTCAATAAAATTTTATTTTAAAAAGTGTTTGATATAAATATCTCTTTTTGAATTTACTTTAAAATTTTTTTATTTCCAAAAAGCAAATGTGCAAATAAAATGTATGTATTTTTTTTAAAAAAAGTTTTTACAAAAGTGATTGAAAACTTTAATTAAAGTCATCTTTCCAATAATTCACTCCTTAAATATTGGCAAAGTAAAAAACTTTAAACATTGGTTATTGGTAATCAATTTTTATAATACCTAAATTTTCTTTCAACGTAATAGCATAATCATGATAATTCACTATGAAAATTCAATAAATATATATTGAATAATGGCAACGACAATGAACAAGACTATTATTATTGCTTTTATTCGCATAATCGTACAAATTATCAATAGTCGTTAAAGACTATTAATCTCACTGATCTTGTTTCTTTGGCGGTTGCTCCTCTTCAGCGTCTAAACCAAGCAATTCAATCCTCTTTTGAGCTTGGCGATTAGCACGACGTTCACGAGCAGCCTTGGCCTTTTGGCGATGAGCTTCAGCTTGGTCGCTAAGTGTTATACGTGAATGATTGTTACATATACACATACATAGCTCTATAAATATAAAACGGAAGAACGTAATACTTACGAGAGCAATTTAGTACGAGCTCTTTCAGCCTTAGCTTTATGAATATATTCCATCAAAACACGCTTGTTTTTGAAAACATTACCTTTAGCTTTCATGTACAATCGATGATATCTATTTGATAGATAATGTCCTTTAGAAACTTCTAATGTTAAATAATATTAAATATAATACATACAAATGCTTATCGATTTTACGAGATTCGCGATATTTTCTCAATAACCTTCTTAGTACACGTTGCCTTCTCATCCACAATACTGCAGTAGGCATACGGGCCTCAGAAGTACCTTTCCTTTTACCAGGACCAGTATGACGACCTTTACGCTTTGCCTTTAATTTTTCTCTGACACGGAAGCGAGAATGGATAGTTTGTGGTTTTTTTATGATTAAACCATCTTTTATGAGTTTGCGAATGTTTTGACCTGTTTTAAAAATGCAAGTGGATCAATTGATTAATTAGATCTGCACAAAATAATAGTTTCTATATTTCCTGTCAGATTAAGAATAAAAATCGACTTTGTAACACATATTATTGATAAGAATAGTTCGTTCTTAAGATGGATTGAAGTACAATTTTACTTACGGGAGTTTGCGTTTGAAATTTCAGTTACCTCATTCGGGTCAAGCCAAACTTTTCTTTTGCCGCAGCCAAGCACACTGGCAGCCAATCTTTTCTGACTGCCCAAATTCACCCTACAATAGATTTTTCAAGTATCCCAAAAGGACATTAATTTTAGATAACCTTATACCAAGTTATATAACTTGATTCTAACGTTTCTTACATTATGAAGAGAGCAATATGTCAGTTTAGTAGAAGAGGAAGAAAATCAAATCACTATCGAAGCTCAAATTTACATTACGATGATCTGTGTAACATAGATTTTTTTTTTTTTTTTTTTTTTTTATCACCAACATCAGGTTTTAAATATTTAACTATAGTTTTTTTAATATAATTATTTAAAAATTTTAATATAATGTTTTTATAATAATAATTTTATAAAAAATTTTTTGTTATAAAATTTATATAAAATAAAAAACTTATAAAAATTTTTCTATTGAATTGTTTTTATATAAAAAAAATAATTTAATTTTAATAAAAATATTTATATAAGAAAAAAAACTTTTTTATTTTTCTTAATTTTTTGAAAAAAAAATTTTAATAAAACAAAAAGAAAAACTTATAAAATTATTATTTTTTAAAAAAAAACTTTTTTTTTCTTTATTATTATTAAAAACAATTTTTTTTTCTAATTTAAGATTCATTAATTATTTTATTTAATTTTAAGTTTTAATAATAGGTACAAACAAAAAATTAATATTAAATATATAAAATAAAGGATTAGCTTTTTTTTAAAAAAAAATTTTATTTTTTTTTTTAAATTGGCTAAGGGCATTAGATGCGCGACATTTATTAAACATTTGTTTTATAGTCAGTATATCAAGTATCTTTACAAAATAGGCTATTGCTATCCTAAATGCAAATTAATACTACCTAATAATTACCGTTTCCAGTAACTCTGGTTTCCCCTAGAC